TACACACCTCTGTTGTCTCAGTGCGTGCGCTCAATCGCTCTGGCGCGCGAGACACTTTGATCGCACTTAACTAGCCCAGTTTATTCAATAGGATCCAACTTTAAATAGAGAAAATGTGGAGGTGTTTGGTCGCTTCTCTGTTTGGATCCGAATGAACTGGGCTAGTTAAAGGAGTTCACTTTTAAAAAACACTTTTGCTGATAATTTACTCACCCCCATGTCATCCAAGATGCCCATGTCTTTCTTTCTTCAGTCGAAAAGAAATTAAGATTAAATTAAAAGATTTTTCTCCATATAATGGACTTCAATGGGAACCAAACGGTTCAAGGTCCAAAAGACAGTTTCAGTGCAAACTGTTTAAAGGGCTTTAAATGATTTCAGACGATGAATAAGGGTCTTATCAAGCAAAACGATCGCTCATTAAAAAAAAAAAACTAAGTTTAAGTTTTATAAGCTCAAATGCTCGCCATACTCTGTTCTGTGATGCTCTGTTCGTGACTCTCCTGTTCGAACTCGTTCATCAAAATGAACAAATCTTTTTCAAGTCATTTGGTTCATTCAACGAACGAAATGAACGAGTTGACTCGGGAAAAGATTTGTTCATTTTGATGAACAAGTTCGAACAGGAGAGCCACGAACAGAGCATCACAGAACAGAGTATGGTGAGCATTTGAGCTTATAAAACTTAAACTTAGTTTAAAAAAAAAAAAAAAAAAAAAAAAAATAAGTGAACGTTTCGCTTGATAAGAGCCTTATTCATCATCTGGAATCGTTTAAAGCCCTTTGAACAGTTTGTAGTTTGCACTGAAACTGTCTTTTGGACCTTGAACCGTTTGGTTCCCATTGAAGTCCATTATATGGAGAAAAATCCTGGAATGTTTTCATCAAAAACCTTCATTTCTTTTCGACTGAAGAAAGAATGACATGGACATCTTGGATGACATGGGGGTGCGTAAATTATCAGCAAAAGTTTTTTAAAAAGTGAACTACTCCTTTAAGTGCTATCAGAGCGATTGAGCGCACGCACTGAGACGACAGAGGTGTGTATCAACTCGTCTTCGTTAAGGGAATAACATAGTTTAATATGAAAAAACGGTGGAGTATCCCTTTAAGCCCCTCCACTGTCTCTGATGTTCTCAGGTAATTGTCCTGTTGTGAGCTGAATAAAAACCCTGTTCCCATCTCTGGCGATCATGCAGACTAAAGCATGTTTTCTTCAGGGAGGTTTTTATTTTTATGTTTGTCAGTACGTTTTGTACTTTTTCCTTCCTCAGAGAAAAATCCCCAAAGCATGATGCTGTCAGCACTATTGCATGGGTGTTTTTTACAGTCATATGCTCTATATTAGATTAGATATCATAGAAGTGAGGCTCAAAAGTTCAGTTTTGGGCTGATCAGACCATAAAACCGAGTCTCTCGTGGGTTTGCCAAACTCCAGCTGAGTGCTGAGAATATAATATAAATTCTCAAAGGCTTTTTGTTATCCAAGCCAGCTATCAGCTATTGTCTCATAAGTTTTTCTCAACTCAATGTGGGTCTCTTAGGGCTTAACTTACCTAATAATTATTATATTATCAACTGTGATATATGTAGTTGTTGATCAAGAGACAATAGTACAGAGATTGGCCAGAAATGGCCAAGAAAATACAGTGTTTAAGTGTCTGTATATTTGAACTTGTACAGAGATGACAGTGTTTACTGTCATAATAACATCTTCATCTGAATAAATGAATATGTAAGAGTCTTACACTTAACATTGTGAAGAGACAGAATGCAGCATTCACATATTCTTCAAGTCACGATTCGATATATATCACGATACCGAACTCATGATACGATACTCCAAGACATACGGTAAAAGGTTGACAAAAAAATGTACTGTTGATTAAAATACAAAATTTGGTATTGGACTTGATGTTGGCAACCCAATGCAAAGGACAAGGTGACACCAGACTGATTCTGAAGCTTCTTGAAATACAGACGAATATCCTAAATATATACTAGTTATGTTTAAAATATTGTATAGGCCACGTTTTACTGGTAACATATGAGAACATTATAGTAGTTTAATGTAACACTGACACTAAAACTCTGTAAACTTGACATTTCTGGCCTACAAACAAAACATATGGTCACTATCCATGATATGGTTGCAATTTTTTGTATTAATTGCTATATATTGTGCCGTGATATATTGTTACACCGCTAAATAAGAGCCGTGAATATTATTATACTCTTTATAACGTCCATGATACCTTTTCACAAGCACACGACGAAACAAAACGTCCTGATCCTGTGGCCTGTTGTTCAAATGAAGAGGGAGATGTTGTTGACTCATGAGAACATTACGACCTTGATGAGACCTTGAAGCTGAATGAGATGAGACCAAAAATACACACACAACGAGAGCCTTTCAGACGGTCTGTGTGAGCATTATATGTGAGCTGTGTTTGGATGGATGGATACGTATGATTAGTTGCACACGTGACGTGAGAGACCTAAACTTAGTAGCTTCCACTTTACCGAGATAACCTCCACCAAACCTTCAGTGGACGCAGTTACAATCGAGAAGGACCAAACAAAACAAACATCTTCTACAAACAAATCTACTTTTTTAGCATTACTGGCACATACGTCGACTTCCGGGCTGTGGTTCATTCGAAAAGGAGAAATAAGGATGTACGTTACAGGGTTAAACAGGAAGTCATGTGAAAGAGGCGCATCATACTAAAAAAGAGATATGAGAACAATACGTATTTCTATATCCTATTAAATATAACTTATTTAATAATGAATTGAACTATTCTCTCCTTCAGCTTTCTCCTCTTGGAGAAAAAAAAAGGACAAAATGACTTTGAATTTCTTATCTGTCGCGGATTGCTGTAAGACTATATGGTTATAGAGTTTAAAGAAGGAAATAAACGTTTCCTTTAAAATTCAAAATACACAGTTTCCTGACGTTAGAAGATGGGAACAATGTGTCCTGATTTCTGAAATGTTTTTTTAACCCTTACCAGCACACGTTCCTCATCGAAGCAAGAATACAAGCAACGGCGCCATCTAGTGGGTGAACTGAGCTACACATAATTAAAACAACATGCAAGACAAGTGAGTAGTTTGTTCATGTAGCCGTTTTCAAAATAGGCGAATATTCGATTGCTGTCGCTTCACACATAATTTTCTGAAGAAATGGGAACGGAACGGAATGCATTTTTGATTCCAAAATATTCAAAGGGAGACACGTGACTTTAACTTGACTAACACTCTGCTAACACCAAGCTTAGCAATAACTGATTGGTCCAGCAAGCAAAAAATACTGTTCGTTTTCTCACACAAACCGCTCGTTTCGTGTCTTAGGCCATCAATGTGTACATTTACGAGTCATTAAATCATGTTTAAAGTGGACTTCTCTGTGCATGCTCTTTGAGGTGGTGACCATAGACCTCCATTATATGACTGACAGACAAGAACGGTTTGACCTAAAAATATCAAAATTGAAAATACTGTGGAAACAAAGACACCAACATCTTGGGGTGCCCTTGAGGTAAGCTAAAACATATCAAAAATTCATTTCAAAGTGAACTATCCCTTTAATTGCTCACACTGCAAATAAACGTATTTCTACTTAACAGAAATGTTGGCTGAAGCTTCGAATCAGCCGTCATCGTATTTCATTGTTTTGAAGAAAAAAATATTGATTTTCTCACAGAACATGATTCTACCAAAGAATGTTGTCATCGTTTCTGTTGTTCACTTTAATAAATCTTTTGTTGCTCACACTCAACATCCAAACAATGTGATCACAGTACCAACATTATTCGTGTTTCACATACAGGCTATCTTTAGTTTCGATCAAATCATTACAACAAAGCATGAGTAAAAGAAAACAACAACAACAACAACAACAGAAATCAGCGCATATACATGTGAAAGCATTTCATATTCATTTTTTTATGACTATACTGTGATTTAGGCAGCCTAACAAAAATGTAACTTTGCACATTACTTACTATACAAATCATTAAACAGTACATAAATAGCAAACATTATATATCAAATGTAAACAAGACAAAAATTGTACAACAAAATCTGACAGTCAAGTTATTGTGGTCTGTTATTTACATTCATTGGACAAAACATGGGCAGAGTTTTGTGCACCAATGTATGAATGGTTTTACGAAATTCACAAATAAAGTCCAATATTTCTGTCACTCAGTGGGCGCAGCATATGCTATACACACTATTTAAAGTCATTTCACATATTTTCTGTCATTGCTTTATATACAACCTTGCTCAAAGTTTGTTGGCTCAGATGTGCTATTAAGTTTTACATTCAGTTGCACTTTTGAAGCCAGTCACTCAGTTCACCCCCATGTCATCCAAGATATCCATGTCTTTCTTTCTTCAGTCGAAAAGAAATTTTTCTCCATATAATGGACTTCAATGGGAACCAAAAGGTTCAAGGTCAAAATGAGAGTTTCAGTGCAGCTTCAAAGGGCTTTAAACGATTCCAGATGATGAATAAGGGTCTTATCTAGGACCATTTGAGTCATGACTCGAAAAAAGATTTGTTCATTTTGATGAACGAGTTCGAACAGGAGAGTCACGAACGCACATCACAGAACAGAGCAAGGCAGCATTTGAGCTTATAAAACTTAAACTTTGTTATTTATTTATTAAATGAGTGATCGTTTCGCTTGATAAGACCCTTATTCATCGTCTGGAATCGTTTAAAGCCCTTTGAACAGTTTTACACTGAAACTGTCTTTTGGACCTTGAACCGTTTGGTTCCCATTGAAGTCCATTATATGGAGAAAAATCCTGCAATGTTTTCATCAAAAACCTGAATTTCTTTTCGACTGAAAAAAGAAAGACATGGATATCTTGGATGACATGGGGGTGAGTAAATTACCAGCAAAAGTTTTTTTTGTAAAGTGAACTACTCCTTTAAGTATGCACAATAATACATTTCACATGTATTATTAAAGGGATAGTTCACCCCAAAATCATTTGTTGTTCCAAACTGGTTAATCTTTCTGATTTTGATGGAATCTGAGAGATTTCTGTCCCTTCATCGACAGCAATGCAACTACAACTTTGACGCTTCAAAAATTACGTAAAGAGAAAAATCGAATACACATGAATCGAGCGGTTTACTTCAAATGATCTGCAGACACACAATCGCTTTAGGCTACATGATGAACAGTGTTTTAAATGCTAACCATTGCAGAATGTGTACTATGTTCTATTGTAGAAATGAGAAGGCAGTATGCAGTATGTACTAGGCAGTAGTAAGCTACACTACACTGGTAATGTTCTGAGTCCTCCACTTGGAGGCAGTGTTACGCTGCAGAGAGTGTGATGGAGCATCTTCAGCTGAGCTGCTCGCTTGCAAACACCGGCTCTCTGTGGAGACAGAGTTTAGTCGCTGCTGTGTTTGGGTCTCTGACCTCGACCTGACACTGGGACTTGGTGCTCTTTCGGTCGCTGTGGCGGGGGTCATCTCCGTGGACGCTGGTGTCGACCCGGGACAGGGTGCACATGCTGCTCTGGTAACGCGGATGGAGACGGGTGGGACGGAGCTCGAGCTCATCGTAGCTTGATACGTGGATGAAGGGACACCACCTGAAGGCCCTTTTGAAGCCGGCTCTGAACCTGGAGGATTGGAAAGAAATTTTACTCATTTAAATAATTTACCATTAATGATATTAATATAATTGCTTCAGAATATTTTTAGCCTATGAAAAAATATTTATATATAATAAATAATAAATAAATAAATTTTATATATATACAATTTATTAATAATATTGTCAATTCTGTTTTCAACATTGACAATTATAATGAATGTTTTTTGAGCATCATATCATCAAATTATATTCAAATACAAAACAATTATTATAATTTGTCATTTATAACAATTTTACAGTTTTTTGTTGTTGTATTTTTAATCAAACAAAGCCTTGGTGAGCACAAGAGCCTTCTTTTAAAAACATTAAAAATCGTATTGATCCCAAACTTTCAACCGGCATTGTGTATATATATAAATATATATACACACACAGTTCTTAATTAAAAAAATATAATACATATTTGTTTAAAATTAAGGTGGCTAATTCGTATGGGTGAGGTTGTACGAATTTGTACGAATTAGCCACCTTTTAATCAAACTTTTAATTGAACGATTTGTCTAAACCCATGTGATGGGTAGGTTTAGGGGCGGGGTCAGGGGTATGTCATTCATACGAATTCATAAGAATTGGGCAACTCGTAAATTATGTAAGATTTAGCAAAAATCGTACGAATTCGCTACCTTTTAATCAAACTTTTGATTGTATGATTTGTCTAAACCCACATGATGGGTAGGTTTAGGGGCGGGGTCAGGGGTATGTCATTCATACGGGCAACTCGTAAAATATGTACGATTTAGCAAACATTTTACTAATTCATACGAGTGAGGTCGTATGAATTCGTACGAATTAGCCACCTTTTAATCAAACTTTTAATTGTACGATTTGTCTAAACCCATGTGATGGGTAGGTTTAGGGGCGGGGTCAAGGGTATGTCATTCATACAAATTCATACGAATCGGGCAACTTGTAAAATATGTACGATTTAGCAAAAATCGTACAAATTAGTACGAATTAGCTACCTTTTAATCAAACTTTTAATTGTACGAATTGTCTAAACCCACGTGATGGGTATTCTTATATTGAAAATCTGTATTTTCAAATAAAAATGATGCGACCAATATGTATTTGGCAAGTGAGAAGCATTTGGCCAGAATTAATTCTCAATGTTCACAGATGTGACAAAATTTTGCACCCTCACTGTGTGTGTTTGTTCCATTACCTGCCATTCAGACAGCAGTAAATAATCGGGTTGTACATGGTGGAGCTCATGGCCAACCACAACACAGACAGATAGACCTGCTGGATGGACTTCCACTTGTTCAGACGCTTGTTTAGCCCCGTCACAATGAAATAGATGTGATAGGGCAACCAGCAGAGGGCAAAGGTCACCACCACCACGATCATCATCTTCACCACCTGAGGAGAGAGCCAATGATCATTTAAAGTCACAGCACGAAGCATATGCAAGAAAAACTGTTTTTCTGTCTTCTTGCTGGAACAAAACAGCATAAGGGGAAAGTCACGGCTCAGCTGGAAAGAACTCGAAGCATCTGCTGCCATCCTCCAGTGAATAAAAACTCCAACCTGGAAACCGATAATTAATGACTGGGGGAAATATGATTGATAGTGATTTGGCACCACACTGAAAGTCATCAGGCGGATGCGAGTCGAGTTTCATTTAGAGCCGTCGCAGTTTTTAATCACGAAAGAGAAGGAGGAAATTTAGAAGGAAAATGGTTGCATATATCATATGTATTGTAAATACCAAAGTGCAATTTTGTGGTTTGATTGGCAAAAACAGTAATATTGTGAAAAATATTACTATTTAAAAGAGATAGTTCACTTTAAAATTAATTTTTGGTATGTTTTATCTTACCTCAAGGGCATCCAAGATGTATGTGTCTTTGTTTCCGCAGTATTTTCAATTTTAATATTTTTAGGTCAAACCGTTCGTGTCGGTCAGTCATATAATGGAGGTCTATGGTCACCACCTCAAAGAGCATGCACAGAGAAGTCCAAATTAAACATGATTTAATAACTCGCAAATGTAAGTACACATTGATGGCCTAAGACACGAAACGAGCAGTTTTTATATCGTTTTTACCTCTTTTAACCACAGCCACGTCCAAGTGATCTGAGGGCACGGGCGCTTCGGTCTCTCTTTGAGGTGGTGACCATAGACCTGCATTATATGACTGACAGACACGAACGGTTTGACCTGAAAATATCAAAATTGAAACTACTGTGGAAACAAAGACACCTACATCTTGGATGCTCTTTATCAGAAAAAAACATATCTAATTAAATTAAAGATTTGATGGCTTTTACAAATTCAGTGATTAGAGTTCATTCATCAATCTGTTCACCAAACTTCGTTTTCAGAGGCACTACAATCAGAGGTAGCCAATCAAATTAGACATTTTTAGATTAGTGCTTGAGGATTTATGTGTAATACGCATTAGATGGTCAGTCTGAGGCTGAGACTGAACAACATAATGGAGAACAACGATCTCAGGCTTCAAACACTCGCCCTTGCAATTCATATCTTTCCCCTCCACCGAAACTGGCACCTCCATCATTAATGGTAAAATCTTCCAGCCATTTATTCATCGCTTTTAAAAACAACATTCACACATCCTTCATTCTCTTAGTTCCTCCGCTCACGACAAACTTTGAAAAGCCACTCGCATCGTCTCATTAATTTGCGCATAATTTGACACAAACCAGTTGAAAAAGACAAAGAAACGCCATCCGTCAACACGTTCATTTGCGCCTTGTCTGTAAAAAGGCGACAAGAGTCTTGTACCCTGAAAAGACCCTACTATAGTTTAATGAGTAATGGGACCCAGGGTAGCCTTACAAATCATCTCTGACTGACAGTTACACAAAGCAGAGAAAGGTTAGGTATGACGTAAACCGACTAGCTGACACGACGGCAGGAGTGTCAGAGAACTTGTTCTTTTTATGCCAGTTACACTATTTTTTAAAGGGACAATGTGTAGGAATTTCTCCCATCTAGCGGGGAAAATATATTTTGCTTTCAACCGAATTGTGCTCTCCAGTGCCTCACTTTTGCAAGCAGGACTTCTGAAATCTTTCTCCTGCATCAGCTCTATCTACCTGGAAGAAGCTATCCCGACATTAACTCGTGTGTTTTGTAATCTCCGATCATGTTTCCTTTTGCGATCTATTCTGGACTTTTCTGGTGATGAGGATTTGCAATGCAGCCTTTTAAACCAACGCTATCTCATGACCAATTCATATGAATTTGCACGAGTGATTAAAAGGTGGCTAATTTGTACGGGTGAGGTCGTACGAATTCGTACGAATTAGCCACCTTTTAATCAAACTTTTAATTGTACGATTTGTCTAAACCCACGTGATGGGTAGGTTTAGGGGCGGAGTCAAGGGTATGTCATTTATACAAATTCATACGAATTGGGCAACTCGTAAATTATGTACGATTTAGCAAAAATTGTACTAATTTGTACGAGTGAGGTCGTACAAATTCGAACGAATTAGCCACCTTTTAATCAAACTTTTAATTGTACGATTTGTCTAAATCCACATGATGGGTAGGTTTAGGGGCGGGGTCAGGGGTATGTCATTCATCCGAATTCATACGAATTGGGCAACTCGTAAATTATGTACGATTTAGCAAAAATTGTACTAATTTGTACGAATGAGGTCGTACAAATTCGAACGAATTAGCCACCTTTTAATCAAACTTTTAATTGTACGATTTGTCTAAAGCCACGTGATGGGTAGGTTTAGGGGCGGAGTCAAGGGTATGTCATTTATACAAATTCATACGAATTGGGCAACTCGTAAAATATGAACGATTTAGCAAAAATCGTACGAATTCATACGAATTAGCCACCTTTTAATCAACTTTTAATTGTACGGTTTGTTTAAACCCACGTGATGGGTAGGTTTAGGGGCGGGGTCAGGGGTATGTCATTTGTACAAATTCGTATAATTTGGGCAACTTGTAAAATATGTCAGATTTAGCAAAAATCGTATAAATTCTCTCTCACTGCTCTGCTCCTCCGCTTCTGCTGCGTTCAGTCACGTCACGCTGGATCTGAACGAAAACGCATTGTGGAAACGCGTTGGCCTGGTACTTTTTGTCTCTCTCTACTATTATAGTTATTCAAGATGGCGAAACTACATGGAAGCCTCAGTGGACTTACCCGTCCCACGTATATAAAGATAATAAATTCTTCGTTTACGAGGATGAGTCAGATAATTGGCAGAGGTATTTGTACACCATTGAGGGCATATTTATGAATAAAAATACTGATTTTATATTATAAAATACATCAAAAAGTACACATTGTCCCTTTAAGGTTTCAAGGGAAGTGAATAAGCAGTGTGAAAATGAGCAGTGTGAAAGCACAGTGTCTTTCAGGAGGGCAGGTGAACATGACCTGTCAGGAGGATATACAGTTTCTACTCATTGTGAATCATGCTGATTTTCTCACAATTCATGACATTCGGCGAAATGGAAAATAAAAATATAGAGTTCCCTGGATTAGATGTAGTTTTCATAAAAACTGATGCATTTATCATAAGTGCAAATGTGAGTCACATCTTCAGTTGATTATGTTCTTTATTTAGAAAATTCTGTCTTCATCTTCAGGTCACTTTCCCCATTTGCAACCACTTTCTGCAGTTTAGCTTGGTTGATCAAAAACAATTCTGAAAAAAAAATGGTTACACTTTATTGTGAGTTAAAAAAATGCCTTCTCAAGTGAAACAATGGGTTTTTGTGTGAAAAAATATCAATATTTGAAACTTTAGCAACTACAAGGACTGGCTTCCGGCAATGGCAGTACATGCGTTCACAAGAGATTTCCAGGGTGTTTCGACTGGTTGTACACTAATGTGTTTTGGGTGGTTTCTAGGGTGTTGCTAAGGCATTACTAAATAAAAAACTGTCCATTTCCTTTATTGGAAGAAATATAGAAATTGCTCATAATCTGTGCAGATTTAAAACTTTTTTCCCCCCATCAAGAGTCTGAGAAACAGTTCACACACCCTGTGAACCAATCAGAGCATTCTTCACAGGAATGAATGGGGTTTTGGAAGCTATTGTGAGTAAAGGTGAGTAAACAAGTGCTTTAATCCAGCGTAATCCTATGGTTAAATTTGAAATGTTTCCATAATCTCTGCATCAAAAAAGAAAAAGTACTGGATTACATAAAATGATCACAGTCATTAATAGGAACCATTTGTGCACAATAAGAGATGAACTGCCCTAGAATCATCCCTGAGAGAGACCTGTGTGCAAGTGTGTGTCTGTACGCGCCGGCTCACAAAAAGCTCAGAGCTAACCGGAGAGATAAACCAGACATGACCTTAATCTGTCGAAAAATCTCAAATGGATATAACAATACAGTGAGAGATACCCTCAGTACAGGTAACAATAAATACATAGATTAATTTCTATGATTTACAACTGCATGGGTTCATTTCTGAAACACTGTCCTTTAGTCACCTCATTCTGACAATCCTACCGAGGACAGAGAGATTATATGAGAGAGAGATCATTCAGTTCATACACTTTCTCTCCGATATCACTAATACTTTCACTTTGAAAGATTTTAAAAGACTCAAGACTCATTTTGGTGACACTTTACACATTCTACTAACTATAGGCCTACATTGTAAAAATAAAATAACTTTACCGTAAAAAAATATGGCAGCAAAAAGTCAAAAGCAAAGCAACATAGGTGTTTTAGTTTCATTACCTGATATAATGTTCATTTACCATCCTTTTGAAGTACTAATATCTGTTTTGTACCAATGTAAAACACTGACAACCACCAATAGGTCATGATGAGAATCACATGATGAATCCAAGCTCATTACAAGCAGCTTTACCACAAATTGAGAAAAAAAAGTAATAAAACTCTATTAAAGCTGCACAGTGTCATTCGCTCAAACACTAAACACCATCATGGTAACACGTGAAATTTATAAAATGAAATAAATATTAACTTAACAACATTATATGTCACATAGAATTCTAATATACATTACTGATTAGAAATAAATAAGAAAAACTAGGAAGAAACAGTTATTTTAACAAAAAAAACATCAAATGTGAAGTGTCACGCAGGGAATTGTGAGAATGTTAAAGGAGTAGCTCACTTTAAAAAAAAACTTTTGCCGATAATTTACTCACCCCCATGTCATCCAAGATATCCACGTCTTTCTTTCTTCAGTCGAAAAGAATTTAAGGTTTTTGATGAAATCATTCCAGGATTTTTCTCCATATAATGGACTTCAATGGGAACCAAACGGTTCAAGATCCAAATGAGAGTTTCAGTGCAGCTTCAAAGGGCTTTAAGTGACACCAGACATCTAGGACCATTCGAGCCAAGACTCGAAAAAAGATTTGTTCATTTTGATGAACGTTTGAACAGGAGAGTCACAAACGCTGATCACAGAACAGAGCAAGGCGAGCATTTGTGCTTATAAAACTTAAACTTTGTTATTTATTTTTTAAATGACCAATTGTTTCGCTAGATAAGACCCTTATTCATCGTCTGGTGTCATTTAAAGCCATTGAAGCCGCACTGAAACTCTCATTTGGACCTTGATCCGTTTGGTTCCCATTGAAGTCCATTATATGGATAAAATCCCGAGTGAAGAAAGAAAGACGTGGACATCTTGGATGACATGGGGGTGAGTAAATTATCAGCAAAAGTTTTTTTAAAAGTGAACTACTCCTTTAATTTATGTTTTTTCACAGTAAATCATACGATGACTTGTTCTTTTTCACTTCCAAAAAAACGGTATTATGCTGTAAAATTGCATTAAATGTACGGTTAAGATCTATCACTTTTGTTCACAGTATAAACTTTCTGTAAACCAATTAACAATTTTTCACCGTAGCATTTTTACCGCAACTTCTTTTACGTTAATGTTACAGTGTACGTAACTTTACAGCTACAGTAGACTGTAGTGGTTCGGGTTAGTAAAATAAATTGACATGTACTTGCAAAGTTACTCATAGTCAGTCGAATGTCTGTTGGGTGAGCATCAAAATAAAGTGTCAGCAGATATTAAGTCGAACACTTTAAAGACAATCGTCAAAAGAAGACAGTAATAAAGGCTTGGACAGGCATGATGGAAGATGTAAATGAGGAACTATACAGTTTTGATCTTCTACCACAATGCATGCAGTTCCAAACTCAGACCTTCTTACCTTCCTTTTAGCACGCAGTTGTCCGACATAATTGTCCGATGAATCTCCAGGAATCTCTCCTCCCCAGAGTGTCACCCCGACTATAGTGTAGGTGATACCCATCACCACTAGGGGCAGCATGTACACCAGCACCGTCACTATGATATGATACCTGGTGAGAGGAGAGGAAGCCGTTGTGAAAAACAAGCGGCTTTTATGGAGCTCGCCAAATGATAAAACCAAGTACCTGATGCCCAGGGTTGGATATTTACACAATAAATTTAGATTCGGAGTTGGAATGACTGTTTACGCTTCTCACACACCATTTAGCCACTGTGTTTGGTCTTCAGTGTTTCTCTCGCCTCACTGCCAGATGGCACTTAGTGTAAAGATAGCAGGAAACGTAAAGCCAGAAAGAGCATTACCAATATTTGAGGAGTGAAAGCAGAGCCTGAGAAGTGCTTGCTGTACAGAAATTACAATCAGGGAATCAGGCATTTGGCCAAAATATCATCTTGCGGTCGAGAATCCTGAGTGAAATCAACCTTATTAGTGACTGATTTGGAACAAATAAATGTCTTACATGAACGAATCCTCAGCGGGTCTCGGCCAGGCAACGTAGCAGACGGTTCTGCGAGGCATAGTTCTCGTGGTGGAGTAGAAACACAGCGGGAAAGCCAAAATCACCGCCAAGGCCCAAATACAGACAATCACAACTTTAGTGGCAGTAGCCGACAGACGAGGCTTCAGAGGGTGAATTATGGCCATGTACCTGTACAGAGAAAAACATCTATTTTATTGCGCTATTTTTTTTTTTGCATCATTTCAATCACTAAACGTGTTTCCCAAAATCAGAAATCTCCACTTGAGCAGCAGATTTATTCCTATCCATATTCTGAAGGATTTTTACAAAGGGGTTTGTTCGTATATCATTTGCTAGATTTATTTAGCATTTTATTCCTAAAGACATGCTGATTTTTTCTCTGATTGTTGTGAAAATTATGTGATCTAGGACCTTTGTACAGTGCATCCTACTGTACGTCTATCCCTCACAGCCTTGTTTTCATCTGTGTTAAATTCAAGATGGCGTCTAACCTTAGTAATGAAAAGAGATATGCAAATATGTATGGAAGCTTGTTTTCGCCACTGAATAAAAAAATTTAAAAATTAATTGCGACTTTTTGTCTCACAATTGCGAGATATGAAGTCAGAATTGTGAGAAATAAAGTCGCAATTGCGTGTTATACAGTCAGAATTGCGAAATATAAAGTCAGAATTGCGTGAAATAAAGTCGCAATTCTGAGAAAAAAAGACAGAACTTTTTATTTTTTATTTATTTTTTTATTATGCGACTTTTTATTTTAGAATTCTGACTTTTTTTCACAATTGCGAGTTTGCAATTCGCAATTCTGACTTTATAACACATAATTGCGAGTTTATATGGCGAAATTCTGACATCTTTTCTCAGAATTATGAGATATGAACTCGCAATTGCGAGTTAAAAAAAGACTATCTTTTTTCCCTTTCAGAATAGTTTAAATCTCACAATTCTGACTTTATATCATGCATTTGTGACTTTATATCTTGCAATTCTGACTTTATAACACACAATTGCGACTTTATATCACGCAATTCTGACTTTATATCTCGCAATTCTGACTTTATAACACGCAATTGCGACTTTATATCACGCAATTCTGACTTAATATCTCGTAATTCGGACTTTATAACACGCAATTGCGACTTTATATCACGCAATTCTGACTTTATATCTCGCAATTGTGACTTTATAAGACGCAATTCTGACTTTATTGCTCGCAATTCAGAATTGAGAGATGTAAACTTGAAATTGTGAGAAAAAAAGTCAAAATAGTGAGATAAAAAGTCGCTATTAACTTTTTTATTTTTCATTCTGTGGCGGAAACAAGCTTCCATAAATATGTAATATGTCAACACAAAGTGACAAGAATTTTTAACCTGGCTTTAACCAAGATTTATGTCTTGGAAATTTGCACAAATGAGTGCATGTTTACTTAGATAATCTATCATTTGCATTTCGAAACATAAGATTTGAAGAAAACTTGTTGCAATTCTTATAGTCAATCAACTGGAAATTATGGTGATATCTGTTAAATCCATTAAATGTTTTTTTTTACTCAGTGGTTTCTTGCCCTAAAGTCACCATGAAAATTAAAAATTTGTATTTTTTATGGAATATTGCCGTATTTTTTTATTGCAGTATTACCATCCAATCAATTTCCAAATGGACAAAGTCATGTCCCACCCTACATTTTTTTTCTTCAAGAATCCGTTTCACTCGGATAAAGGTCAGAAAAAGTTAAGAAAGGTCTAGTGCTACTTCCATTTCATGACTTTAAACTTAAAATAGACTAAAAAATAATGCATAATAAGCCTGCTTCATGCTTGACCTTATCCTAATGAGTAAATTAGAGCATTCTCTCCAATGAAAAAGCACTTCCACGATGAGCGAATATTTTGAAAAGATAATGGAAAATACATAAATTAGGTGGCATTCCCAATAATTAATATAGTCTTGTATGTTGATGACATTTATGGCTAATTCATATAGAGAAATGAAATGCATTATTATTCCACCCTATCTAAAGGATAACCTTTTGATAATGGGAACGAAAAAGCGAGCAGGCATATGGACATGAACACTCGCGCATGATGAAAGATTACATAGAGTTAGGATGAACTGATGTTCTCATGGCTCACACAGCCACAGACTGAGCTTGTAAGCTTTTAATGAAGGAAAAGCCCCCCAATGCTCTAATGCAGATCATTATCAAAGATCTCATCTCATCTCATTAGATGCATTCATGACTAACTGGATGCTATGAATGTTGATTGCACAAGGTTACATTATTGTATCAGCTGAGCTCTGTATATTTCTGTAAATGAACAGGTGAAGGAACAGGAAGAAAGAAGCCTGCGCTGGTGGTCATACCTTCTTCCCATGACTTTTCTGATTACTTGAAATTAATTCCTTTAAAAGAAAATACTTACAAAAAGCAGACTGATGTCAGGTGAAATGCATGGGCCAGATAGGTTGAGTTAAATATCCAATCATTCTATACTTGCCAAAATAGCAAATCTGCAATTTTGTAAACCATTTTACAGAGGAAGGTTTATACCTTTTTTATATTTATACAAAATACCAAACATCTAAAAAAAAGGGTCTCATAAACGACATATTGATTATTTCTATAATAAATAATGCTGAGATTTGCAAAATAATTTTATCTAATAAAAATCTTACTTTATGAATTTTAAGAGCATTTTAAGCCAATTTTTGTTACAATCGTAAAATCATTACAATTTCTCTCCCACACGCATTTTTAATTTCTAATTCCATTGTATAAATTCAATTAGAATTTTTGTACAGATTGACTAGACCTGGATTCAATAGTTCTCCAAATAATTTTTTTTTTGATATTTTCAACAGAATGCTATAGAAGAGACCTGATTAAACATAGAAAGAGCAGAATGGAAAATGTGCATGAAGAACCGAATATTTACATTCCACAAAAGATTCATATCGGAAAAACATATTCTTTAGAATATTGAAATGTTCGGGGGGAAAAGGGTTCTTTTAAGAACTGTTCACTGAAATGTTCTTTATGGAACCAAAAATGGTTCTTCTACCTTGGAAAACCCCACTAGACAATTTACGAAGTCATTTCTATCAAATTTGAAAGATTCTATAATTTCATTGTCTTCTAGAAATCACAATTTCCACGAGAACCCTGATTCTATTACCTCAGCTTAACGTTTGTGTGAACGATGAACCCCTGATTATAATATTATAACTTATAATTGATCATAAACAGTATTACCTGTCGACTGCAATCGCAGTCATGGAGTAAATGCTGGCAAACACGGCGGTCACGGGAAAGAAGTTGTGGAACTTGCAGTACACCTCTCCAAAGTACCACTCTCCGTGCGTGGCGTAAATGAAGTTGATGAGCGTGTTGAAGGCGGCCATCGAGGCGTCGGAGAACGCCAGGTTGAGCAAGAAATAGTTGGTAACGGTGCGCATCCGTTTATGGGCCAGAATGATCCATATAACGATGATGTTCCCGAACACGGCGACCGCGAGCACGGAGCTGTACGCGACCGACCACACCGCGACACGCCACGCCGGCTGCACGAACTGATTCGTGAAATTACGCGTTACGTTCGAGCCACTCTGTAGACCAGCCATGATCAACTTAATGCGATATCCTTCTTAATCAGTTAGACTTTTTGTCTGAGATTATATTTAATCCTCTGTGGAATCAAGAATAGGTCTGGCGCGTCCTCGTGCTCTCCATCCAAAGTGTCCAAAATAGCGGTGACGCGCATATGACAGACGTCTGGAGATGCTGCTGTTCCTGCCACATGTTGCTCAAGTGAAGCTCATAGTTTTAGTAGATTTGGAACTGATAAATGCTTTATAGCCTCAGCCTGTGCAGGTTTGTGATGCAACAGCTCTCCAAAATGAATCAAAAGTAGGCTATGACATTTGAACAAAATGAGGCACCTCAGCAGCGAATCTACACAAGATATAGTACATTTATATTTGTTAACTACAATTTAAGAAAAATAAAATTTGAAAGCTGCTTTCTTTATATAAGGTATATACGTAGATATCATTCAAACAAATCTCTAAGGACCATAAATGACCAGATTGGTCCAACTACAAATCATGTTAAACTGACTGCCATAAAAGGGAACAAGTACAGTTACAATTTTCTTTATTAAAAAAGAAATTAGTGCATCTTGCGACATTTGCATATCATTGTCAAACTTGATAAATATTCTGCCGTTGTTTATGAATATTCTCTTTTCCATCCAAGAACAGGTCTGTCAAGATCATTTTTGAAACATAAAATAAACAATATGATAGCTTTGTGCGAGGAACTGATTGATAAGAAGAGGAGGAGAGGAATACTGTGCATGATATGGAGTTCTTTTATGATGATTTTTTTGTGTCTGTTTTGGAGTTTGACGGTCATCCTTTGTTATAAGTGTATACTCTCACTGTTTCCCTTAGAGTAAGTGCGCATGGATGTTTGTGCACGTGTGTTTACAATCATTTGTCTGTGTGTGTTCTAACCATAGAAAGGCCATGTTGTGCATCCCGCCACACACCCAGGGTTCAGGTGGTTTTGTACCTTTCATCTTCGACCATTTCATTAATCCTTTGAGGCTTCCGCAGGTGTTTGAGCTCTCCGGGAAGAAGCTGCCCTTTTATGCAGATCTGGCAACCTCCACTGACGCCTGTCGGAGGAGTCCAGCTTTCACACTCTCTGTCAGTGCCTGGGGAGAAGCTTTTCCAATTAAAAGGGATTAAACTCTGATTGAAGCACACTTAATGAATCAGATCAACAGTTGCTTCCTCTACTTCACAAGGGGGAATAATGACTTGTGGCACAATGCAAGTGTGAGGCTGTGCGTTAGGGCGAGATTGTTTTTGCGAATGGACTCTGACGGGGGAATCCTATCAAATTGCGAAGGCTGAAATATAATTGAATAGATGTATGTGCCGCATGTTTCAGAGTGACGAGTGGCGTCCCACACCAGGAGAACACAATCTGTTGTTTCCAGTGTCTCAAATGCTGCTCCGCATGAACTCATCTTGAGTTTGTGTGACTATAATGTGCATTTGGGAACGCAATATGCGCCAACCATCTTTCCAAAAATTTAATGAAAAGCACTAATAAACCTGCTGTTGTCCACAAAAGACAAGCTGCCCAGACTGATCTCATGAAGTAGCGTGTGTATGACACGGCAATTCGTATTTCCATTTTTGGTGTGCTATCAACACGCATAATCGCTTTTCAGCGTGTTTATGAATGCCGTTGACTTAACGTTAATACTGTATATATAAATATATGACTTACCTCAACCCCGTCCCTAAACCTACCCGTCACTGGGGTTGATAGCATTTATGACTGTTCCCTTACCATCCTAGGAAAAAAAAGATAGCTCCCCAGAATGTAGATCTACATTTTGCTTCGTTTCGCTCGGACATTTGACGGCGTGTACAGACAAGCGGAATCACTCGGACATTAATGGCGTAGACATACACGCGGATAGCTCAAAATGTGTAGAGATAACACACCACTTGACTCGAAAGTGACGTGTATGTTTACGCAAAAGTCATGATGTCATGTTGCGCTGCCAAATAAAAGCTTTTTAAGATGAAGAAATGTGGACAGCCACATATATAGTAGTAGTTAGTACTATAGTAGATCCAAAAAAACAAAGTAAGATTGAAAGTGTGATAATTGTGCTCATTAAAGGTACAATATGCAAGATTTTTTCGCCACCAGGGGTCGCTAACCTCTTACAATAACAAAGGCGTATATTGTGACGTATATTTAGCGGAATTATGGATCTTGTCGTCAAGCTGATGGATCTTTTATGGATGAGTGAATACGGTGATGTTTTTAACTGGACTGTGGTGTGAACCAGGGCGCGATTGCAAGACGTAAACCAGCGCCACACGCAACGCGAGTCCCGCGGATATAAAGGAATGAGGACACTTCATTCTACCGAACTACACACAAGTGCTGGATTAATGCTCACATGGGTCAGTTTAATAGAGGAATTAATCTTGAGGTAACGCAGCGCTTTCACTTGCTCTATAAGTTACACCATCACACTAAACGGCATTTGAGTGTGTTGAATGTTAGTAACCGTGAGTTGTTTGTTGGCTGTATCTATGAGACTAAGCTAGACTAACATTAGAGAATAACATACAGATCATATTCTAACTTTTCATCATGTTGAACTAAATAACATTGATTAGTTTGCTCACCATGCTCAACATTTGCTCACCTGTTTAATAAAGTAACGTTAACCTGCAACACTCGCGTCTCTAAGTCGAAGTTAGTCGCAAACGTGCTCTCGGCATCTCGAAAGATGTTGATCTTCGTTTTAGTCCTCATTTTGTCTCAAAGTCTGCTTGCCATGGTCCATAACGTTTGAACAAAACAACAACAGCGTGAGCGTCCTGCTAGGCATAACGTGCATAACCCGGTTGTCAACATCTGTCGTCAAACCTGGCGGAAACCGGGGGTAACGCGGATATTACGTCATTGACTGGCAACTCCTCACTCCTGCTCACACGCCCCGTTTCCTTGGTTAAAAATCGCAATTTTCTCACGATTTACAAATTGTTGAAAACATCTGGGATATTGTAAGTAATCAACTAAATAAAATATATAACATTAGCCTAGTGGTTTTAGGATATTTTACTGCAAAAATCCTGCATATTGTACCTTTAAAATAGCACAATTATGAGCATCCAATTAAACTCAACTGTATTTTAGTGCAAATTCATTTGCCAGTTGGTGGCAACTACCAGATACTTAGAGGGACAAGTTGCGTGAAATCATGAATTTTAATTGCAATTTTAAAGAAAACATCTTAATTTTCACTTCTGCCATATGATCCTGCAGTGAGACCTCCTGTTGCTGCTGGAAGAGGTGTTGCTGAGGCCAGCAGGAGGCGTGCATCAATTTTAATGAATCAAAAGCTATAGTTAACAAGACATTATAGGCTACTATTAAAATGCACTGTCCTTCCCTAAACTGACTCTGTGTGGTCATTAAAAATTATTGGGCATTTCAAATTCAGCTTCTTTAAATCATGGTGTCCTAATCAGCCCTATGTTCACTGCACTATTATTTGGTACTGCTGGACACGGGTCATGATTTATCAGATTTCAAGACACACTATAAAGTCATGTGAGTCGTGGAAATTAAATGAAAGAAATTGTTACTAATCTGGTTTCTGAAGGAAATTTTCATTTGAGATCCACAGGTTGGAAACAATGACGGAGAACGAATGGAGAAAATTGCCACATGGTGCTCAGTGAAGAGCTTTAAAAGGGCTGTGTTTAATGAGATGAATCCTGTGTGTCTCGACTGAAACTCCACAACATGTCACCAGTACCGTCTCTGTCTTCACAGCACTCTTTTTTTGAAGCTCTCGGCATGGTTTCACATGGTTCAAACTCTTCAGAACAGAGATTGCTTCTACCACTGATTGCATCCATTTGTGCACACAGCTAGTTTAAAGATCTCAGGCTTCAACAAGAGGACATCCAAACCACAAAGGACTACCTGATTTCATTCAAGCACTCTGCAATCTCACATCTTTAATTTCCGGGGTATTTTTAAATCGATCACGTAAATGACCCTTTCAATCATATTGACCGAGTGTAGTGGCCGGTTTGAGTGGCACTGCTGCTGAGATTGACAGAGAAAATGCTTGGAAAACCTTGTGTGCTTTCATGGGCATTATGCACAGCTGCACTACTTCCTGAACTTAAGCCACACTCTTAGAAGAAATGGTTCTATTTAGAACCAAAAATGGTTCCATCCCCCGCTTCATATATGGAACTCCAAAATGGTTCTATATAGAACCATTTTCTTTTTGTAAAAGGTTCTATTGGCCAAGTATGGAACCCCAGGGTTCTATATAGAACCCAGAGGAACACTTTTTTAAAGAGTGTATAGAACCTTTTAGGGGTTCCAAATACGTAGCACTGATAGAACCTTTTAAGGTTCTATATAGAACCTTTTCTTCTAAAAGTGTAGCTCCTTGTTTCCTGTCTGCCATTATTGGCCGAACTTGATTAATTCAGGTGTGTCTGATTATTGTTGCCGTGACTACTGAGGTCAGGCACACCTGGATTAATCAATTTGGCCAATAATGGCAGACAGGAAACAAGGAGCTGGCTTAAGTTCAGGGTGGGTTGGGGGAATCATTACATTAACAGAGTTGGATGAATCTATTGACAAGTCGAAAAGTACACACTTTGATTGATTGCTGTGAGTGTGAATTAAGACAAAATTCTTTAAAGCATAATCATGTGTAATAAATCAGATTATCATTACTTCACGAGTTCACCTTCCCATCCAGTCATAAAAGTTAGGCTTGTTGTCCTCGATAAAACAAAGTTAAAACACAAAGTTTGGCTTGAGCTCCAAACTAAAACCCCTTATAACAGTACAACAGATGAAGACTGAGAGAAATACAGGAGGAGAAGGAGAGCTGTGGGAATGCCAGAAGCATGTTACTTACACTTTATAATGATTATTGACAGGACTTATAATAGACATAACATATAATAGAAATAATGCACTTTCCAGAAGAGGGCAGCAGAGTATTCAAGCTGAAATAAACATTGTGTCGCAGTGTCTCCTGAAGAAAGTTTAACCCTTTGAGGTAACCCTTAGTATTTCTAGCTGATGCGGTCCTAATGATCTGCTTCGATTCATTGAGCATATCTGCAATGTATTTAGGTCCTAGGGCATTAAGTGATTTATAAACAAGTAATACTACTCCGAAATCAAACCTAAATGTAACTGGAGGCTAGTCTAAAGACCAGAGGACTGGTGTCATAAGCATTCTGTATGAGCTAAGCAGTCTTATTTTTATGAGGAGTC